TTGTGTGTCGTGAGGTTGCCCGCAGTAGTGGCCCTGAAGCCGCACCCGGGCTTGTCGCAAGCGAACGGCCGCTCGCCGCTGTGCGTGCGCTTGTGCCTCGTGAGGACGCCCGCATCACTGGCCCTGTAGGCACAGCCGCGCTCGTCGCACGCGAACGGCCGCTCGCCGTTGTGCGTGCGTTTGTGTGTCGTGAGGATGCTAGCACAACTGGCCCTGTAGCTGCAGCCGGGTTCGTCGCAGGCGTGCGGTTCTTTTGCGCTCGGCGCCGAGCGCCCCTTCTTCCGCCGCGGCTACGCGGGGCTCGCGCCATCCGACTCGTCTTCTTCTTCCGGGCTGCCCTCGCGCTCGGAGCTAGCCTCGCTGCGCCCTTGTTGCCGGGGGCGCGTCGCCATCTCTTGGGCGGCCTCGCAAACGTTATTAAATAGATTATCTTTCACGTAGATCCTAATACCAAAAAGTACCTGAGTTGGTCAGCATCTCAGACCTCATGAATACGATGCTGAGTTCAAGTCTTGGGTATGTCCGGATGGCCGAGTGGTCTAAGGCGTTGGATTTAGGCTCCAATCCACTACGTGGGCGCAGGTTCGAACCCTGCTTCGGATAAAATCTTTTTCGTCCTTTTCGTCCATGCCCTTGCTATTGCCCCCTCGACCCCGCTGCTCCAGGTATGCACGACGAATCGGCTGCCGGGCCGGACTAATGTACTTATATTTATAAATATATATTAGCGGCTCAGCATGATTCAACAGGTGTTGTTCAGTCACTGGCTTGGTCCACGTCAGGCTGAGGTCAGGCTGAGGTCAGGCTGAGGTCGAGCGATCGACCCAAACACTCATGCACCAGCACTCACAGCAAAGGGTGTGAGTGTGTGACAATGCTTCGGATAAAACCTTTTTGTCCTTTACGTCCATGCCCTTGCTATTGCCCCCTCGAACCCCCTGCTCCAGGTATGCACGACGAATCTGCAGCAGAGCTCCGGCTGTCGGTTTGCGCTTTTTGACGGGCGGGCCGGACTACTGTACTTATATATTAATGTAGGGGGGTTCGGGCTGGCGGTACGTTTCAAGTTCAAGTCAGGCTGATCTTAGCGCTCCGACGCAGGCTCCTACGCGCTACGCCGAAGTGGGGAGCTGG